TTGGTTGAGCAGCATTGGATGTACGATAGGCCGGGCCAGGTTGGGAGAAAGCAGGAGCGTTCATGGCATGCTGCGGTGCAAAAGTAGCTGCGCGATCCGACGCGGAACTTCGTTGATACTGGGAAGTGATGCTTGCGCTCGTTGGGGTTTGGACCACGTTCATGCCTCTGTGACACGCAGACTGGCGTTCGAGGTGAAGGCGGCGGTGGCGTCAGCGCTCGAGTTCTTGGGACGCGCTCGAGGACTCGGTGACGACAATGGTGCTCTGTGAAGGGAGAGGAACGTCGCGGACTATGAAGCAGCGGAACGGGACGGTAAGAATTCGCGAGAGAGGGATTTGCTGAAGAGCCTTGGTGGGTAGTCGCGGAGGAGGTTCGCAATTGTTGGTGAGAGGTGAGAGGTGACAGCTCACGTCGAGGACGAAATCCAGAATTCAGGTACACTGAGTGGCCGTGCGACCCGCGTCCCTTCAATGGCGGGAGGGGGGTTATATTGGCGGTACGAATGCTGAGCAACGGTCGCAGTGCGGGCGGCGGACGGGGTGCCCTCGACGGACTCGAGAGGCGCGGCGGGGAGCGTGTGATGGGTGTTGGTGGTGAGGATATAATTTCGTAAAGAATGTCGTGAACGGTGTCTCGGGTGCTCAGGTTCAAGAAGGCAGACTTGGGCTTTCTCGGTCGGAGTGTTTTCTGTGTCTGTGGGTGAATGGGGGGAGGGAGACTCTCATGGCCCGGCAGGTGCGGTGGCCATTGGCTGCGTCGCCGATGCTGGGAGTAGGGGAGAGGCCTTATCGTTAGCGCTAGCAGCTAGTGGGAGTGAGTGCAGCGCAGCGAACAAGGGCGCGCGCTGCACAGCGTGTTACAGGCCCATCCGGACGCCTCCTGTGCGCTAACGAGGGAGGACGAGGGGACGCGGACGAGGGGGGCTAGGGGGGCTAGGGGGCCTGGGGGGAGGGCAGGCCTGGCAGGTCGACGTCGACGGCACCCACTCTGGCGCGCAGCAGCGTCCCACACTGTCCCAGCCTGTCCAGGCCAGGACCAGTCCAGTAATACTGACTGCGAGGGACTGCCTCGCTGCTCTCCAGGCCCACTCACCACACTAACCCACTCACCCACTCACCCACTCCCGGAACCCTGCTGCAGCGCTGCTGGTGGCCCGAGTTCCTCGACTGTCGAGGCGCAGAGAGCTCCACCAGCTCCAGGGAAGAGGCCCTTGGGGCTTGGGCTGCAGCAGTGCAGCCCGCCTGCTCGCTGCTGAATCGCTGATTTGGCGATGGAAGCGTCCCAGTGGAGCCCCACGATAGCACACGGCCTGGAACCCTCTCCCCTACTTTGCGTGGCCAGTGGACGCTGTGCGCGACGTGCAGCGCTGGGAGCCTCTTCTCGAACGGCCCTCCGGATTAACCATTAACGTGGTGATGCTGATCGTGCGCAACGTGATCTCAATTATTTCACCTCGCGGATCTTCCAAAGTAAATCTACGAGCACAGAGTTGGTGGCATCATCAGGGTCATTGGTCTTTGGGCACAGGACACTTGTCGGAAGCAAGAAAACGAGGCACTCGCCCCCCCGGGAGAGGTGAGAGACGGTAAAACAAAGGCCCAAGCCTTATCATCGCAAGCAATCACAGCTCGCCATTTCCTTTGAACCTGAAATCTTCGGCTCTCGGCCGGGAGAGGAGTCGTCGTTGATAGCACGCTCGCATGGTGATTCGTTGCCGCGCCTGAGAAAGCCGTCAGAGAGCTTGTTCCCGTTGGCTCATTTCCTCTCACGCTATCTCATCGTCCAGTTTGCTTGGTATTATGGGAAAGTTCCGCGGCCGCTGAATGGAAGTCTTCCAACTGGAGGAGGGCAACCATAACGGTCGAGGTGGGGTGAGGAACATGCTTGTTTGCGGGATTCACTCGTCCTTCACGGCGCTGAGAACGTCCGATGGATTGTCCTCGGTGTCTCATCTTCGTTTGGACTCTGGGCATCACCTTTCCCTCCTCCTTGCGCAACAGCGATTGCCTTTGATTGTACACAATTTCGACCAGGGACCAGCAAGGAATACTTCGAGGATCTTGATAGCTGCCGCGCCGAGGACAATCAGGTTTATATGCGATCCCGTGTTGGGAACTTGGGACAGGCCGAGTGGCAACGGCTGCACGACGACTACCTCCGTTTGCGAGTACGGGAAGGAGGGGGTTGCCAGAGATCTCGGCCGTCGGGTGTGACAGGACGGTTCCTTTCTTTGCTTCCTTGTGTCACACAAACTCTTCAGTAGACGCTGCACCTGGATGCGAGCTCCCTCGAGGATCTCCACCGCTATCATTGGCGGAATAGTGACATCAAGGGTTCGCGACGGCTAAAGCCTATGCCTATCTTGGCGCTGATACTCTGGTAAATGCAGGACTCGAGAGCTGTCTCAGATTAAGGTCGAGAGAAAGTTCCGCAAGAGGCCGGTAACATGATCGTTCGTTATCCTGTCTGCATCTTGGCGACGGTACTTAGGGGAAGAAGCACATGGCAGATCTACCATGCACCGTTATGGGAAAGTGATTGCTCGTTCCCAAGGACCCAAGAAAACGAGGTCGATTCCGATTGCGACCCTGGGGCGTGCTGAGCCGATTCGGGAGAAGATGAGCTGATCGCCTGCTGGTCTGCAATAGGGCGTCTTCTTCTGGGAGGAGTTCTGCTTCCTCGCATGGCTCAGAAGGGGATGGGGTCGATATGCGAACACAGCGTGGCCACGCGAGCGTGAAGGTGCCTTCGACGACGACGACGACGACGGAGAGTTCTCAGTGCTCGCAACCCTCAGGCCCAGGCACGTTGGTAATCGGGAGCAAGTGGCACGGCCCTCGACAGGCTTCATTTGACCAGCTTACACTTACACAACTCGCAGGACAAACTGGACCGACTGCACACTCAACAGCACAGTACAGACAGACAGACAGACAGACATGACCAGGGCGAGCATGGGTCAGGGTGTGGCAGCGGATGGTCCTCTCAAGGCCGGAACCGTGCACACAGTCCCCCTCGAGCTAACCAGGGGCCATCTTTTGGGCCCATCTGAGGGTGTGTGCAGGTAAGTAGTGGGCGCCGTGGGCTGGCGAGGGCTGGTGAGGGGCTGATCCCACCGCTTGGTCGGGTTCGATACTCGCTCCTCGCTGCTCGCTGCTGTTCACGAACAGGACGCAGGAAGCAGAAGAAGGAAGGATCGGCATGCAATAGTTTTTCCGACCGGGACCGCCAGACATCCCTCCCTCGCCGTCGCTTCCAGACCTTCGAAAGGAAGACTCGCTGTCGCAAGCACTTTGGTATCTTCGTATCTCGTGTATGATGTTGGTGGGGTCGTCGAGCTTCTAAGACGTCACTCACCCGTCGTGGAGGGGATGTTTGCTTTGCTTCTCCATCGCTAGCCATGCCATTCGCGATGGCTCGATGCCCTGCAGCTTTCCTGTGCATCTGCGCTGCAGCGACCGCAGCGACTGCAGCAAACTGCAAACTGGATGCTTCTTGTGTAAGGAAGAACCTGGCCGCCAGCATCGAGAGTGTGGTGCGAAGACGATAGGGTCATATCCGTACTCCCCCCGAATCTGGTACCTCGCGGGGTCCTCCATCCGTTGACAGTCTCCAGAGTTGTCTGCGCACAAAACCACCTTATGTTCCGTACTTTACTGTCAGATGATACATCTCCGTCTGGAAGATGCCGTCGCATTCAGAACAAAAAGCAAGAAAATGGCACTCATCACTTTCTTCACAGCTCTATCAACCTGGTCAGAGGAGCTTTCGGAACGAAATCATCCCATCGAGCAAGGTGGCTTCAACTCCACAAGGCTGTGTGCGACGGTGTGGTGCTTTCGCTCATATATGAACAACGGTAATTCATAACAGAGCTGCATGCGCTGGCTTGTGGCTTTTCAGATGAGTTGATAGTTCTGGATGGTGGACAAGGGTCGCTGATGAAAGAATTGACCAACCATGAAGGCCGACCTAATGCAGGCTTCGCACTCCCGGCTCGCCAGTCTCATAGCCGTGAAAGTATACCTGTAGAGCGGGATTTCTAATGGCACATGAAACGATTAGTGCTTATGGTTGGCGCTGTATCGAGATTGTCTCATCGGTATTGAGGGATGGAGGATTGGGTCAAGGCCAGGAGCCGGTCATGTGACCGCGAAGTTGAGCCTCATACATTTCAAGTTTTACAATATGCAGAGGTGTTAAGAGCAAACTCTCCTCACACAATCCGAGGCTTCCGCTCGCTGGGTCTGCATGTAAGTCGGCCTCAAAATCTCCCACAGTTCGGGAGGAAGCACAAAATATTCATCACGTGATTAACCATTGTCCTTGTCCTGTGCTAACAACTTTTCTTTATTTAGACTGCCAAAAAATGATAAAGGGGAGAGCTTCCGGTGCAGGAGACTCATATTCGAAAAGTCTTCATCGTACATTTGCTTTTATTTAAACATATTTGATAATTCTTCCTTCAATCTTTTATTTCTCGGGCCCCACAAGACTTCTATGAGATACATAGTACCTACCTATATTACCAATTGAATAATACTCTTCAATCAAGATTCCCACCAAGAATTGCCCAGACAATATTCTAAAACAGTGCTATGAAACTACAGAACTTCCATCCTTGTCATTCAAATACAGAGCCTCATCCAAGCAGTAGCTTGCGCCCACCACACCGTTCAAGCTTGATGTTGGACTGCGAAAGCTGCCGCCAAGCGGAGACCCGCTCTGAGTGATCGTAGAAATGATGTACCCCAAAATTTTGTGACATTACTAGAGTTGCTAACCCTTTGTCTTAACTCTCTTTCTTCTAGACTAGCTCGAAATGTTTTTCAATTAATACAATCAGCAGATAGATAGTTGATTCGTTATAAATATAAGCAAGGGCCCTGGGAAGGCTAGACTCACTCTAGAGATTAGCGAGCGAAACTTAGCCTCATCAATTGGGCCGTTTTGGCTGTTAGGCGTATGTAGTTAAATAAGCAAAACACCACCATAAATGCTTCTGTGGTCCAATGGTTAGGATTCCACCCTTCCATGAAGATGCAAGGTGGAGGTTCGTGTTCGATTCACGGCAGTTGCACTTAGTCATTATTTTTTTCCATTTTTTCCATTTTTTTAAATACAGTACCTGCATTTCCACAAGGCCTTTTGAGGTGCTCGTCCATTTTTTAAGGTTCAAGTTTAGCGAGCGTGTGTACGAAAGGGGGTTTTAGCAAATGATGAACACCCCCTTGTTTCTGCCATTGCCAAGACATCCAAATCAAGTAGAAATTATATGCTGCTTTAATGCACTACCAATGCGTTTGTGCACCTTTTCTAAATCTAACCTTCTCTAGTCTCTCTGGGAGAGAGTCTATATACTTATTGAAATCTTGTACTGTAATTTCACTCTCCCAAATATCAAGAACTGCTTCTTGAAGATCCTTAAGAGACCACCCACCGTACGGGTTTCTATTACGTAGCTTTTGTTTTAATATCCTCCACACGTTTTCAATAGGATTTAAGTCCGGCGAAGAAGGAGGCCAATCGATCGAGTATATAAAGCATTCAACTCGTGCTTTATTGCAAATGCCTTGATTTTTCACTGTATCCTTTTTGCCGTGGACCCTACTCCCGTCCTCTACTACGAAGTAGTCCTC